TGAGGATTTTTGTTTTCTTTACATTGAGATGTAATCCATACCAAAGGCTGTGCTCTTTGATCTTCATCTCAACATTGTTGTTGTTGTTCTTAAGTGCCATCGAGTCGATTCTGACCCATAGTGACTCTGTTCAGGGTTTCCGATACTGTAAATCTTTATGGGAGCAGAAAGCCTCATCTATTTCCCATGGAACAGCTAGTAGTTTCGAACTGCTGACCTTAAGGTTTGCAGCCTGATTTGTAGCCACTACACTACCAGAGCGCCTTCATTAGGTAACCACAAATCTACTTTCTATATGTATATATTTGTGTATTCTAGACATTTCATATGAATGAAATAATCCAATATGTAGTCTTTTCTGATTGGTTTTTCTCACTTAGTATAATATTTGCTAGGTTCATCCATGTTGTAACTTGTTTTACGACTTCACTTCCTTTTATTAATTAATAAATATAAAGCATTTTGTTTGTCCATTCATGAGCTGATAGACAATTGAGTTTATCCCACTTTCTGACTGTTGTGATTAATTTTTCTGTGAACATTTATTTGTGTACTAGTTTTTTTATGAATGTGTGTTTTCATTTCTCTTAGGTATACACCTGGAAGTGGAATTGCTGGATCATATGGTATCTCTGTGTTAACCTTTTCAGGAATTACTAGACTTTTTAAAAGCAGTTGTACCATTTTTTATCCCCATCATCAAAATATAAGCATTCTCATTTCTCCACATCCTTAATAACATCTGTTATGAGCTGTGTTAAAAAAAAAAAAAACTATAGCCATCCTACTGAGTTTGAAGTAGTATTTCATTGTGATGCCATTTCTGCATCAATTGATATGCACATGTGGCTCTTTTCCTTTTTTAAATTTATATGGTGGATTATATTGATTGTTTTTCTAGTGTTGAGCCATCCTTACATCCCTATTACAAATCCCACTTGGTCATGATGTATTATTTTTTTTTGGTGTGTTGTTAAAGTCTCTTGGCTAGGATTTTGTTAAGAATTTTTGCAGTTATATTCATGAGGGATATTAGGGTATAATTTTCTTTCTTAGTGATTTCCTTCCCAGGTTGTGGTATGAGGGTTATGCTTGCCATATAAAATGTATTAGGAGATCCTCTACCCAGCAAAGCTGTCAATCAAGTACGACAGTGTAATCAAAACATTCCAAGATAAACAGAAGCAAAGGGATTTTTGCCAAAGCAAACCCTGCATTGCAAAACATCCTAAAGGGAGTTCTGTGGAGTGAGAACCAACAAGAACAGACAACAACCAGAGATTGACATACATGGCAGCACCTCCCAGAACTGAAT